TTTTGATGATAACTTGTGTAAGGTCATCATGGCTTGTATTTGTACGCCTACTGCAAATGTACTTTGCAATGAGGAGCCCACTTCAAAGTTACACACCCACTTGAGGAAGACCCTGTCTCCCCCTACATCTTTATGCTGTGGATGGAGAAGTTAAGTCATATTATTGAGGATGAGATAATTAGAGGAGAGTGGAAACCCATTCAATTAGTAAAGGATGGTCCCAAACTTTCACATTTATTCTTTGCCAATAACTTGGTTCTCTTTGAAATAGCTTTCTATAACTTGATGGAAGTGATTGAGAGATGTATGACTCGATTCTATAGTGTTTCTTGTCAAAAGCTGAATAAGGAAAAAACTAAGCTCTGTGTATCCGCTAATGTTCATTTAATAGAACCCAAGAGCTCAATGATGTTCTTGGTGTTGGGTTAACTGGAGACTTGAGAAAAATTTGGGTATTCCTCTAATTCATAAGAGGGTGACTTATAGATCTATGTACTGATCTTGTCAAATGTAAGAAGAAGGTTGTTGAGTTGGAAAGGTAGGTATCTCACCTTGGCTGGTTGGTTAATTTTGGTCAAATCTATTATCTTCACCCTTCCCTCATCTTTTATGCAAACCATTCTCCTCCAACAAGCACTCTTAATGAGCTTGAAAGCATAAGCCGTGATTTTTTACAGGGAGAAAATGAAGACAAGAAGAAGATTATCTCCTTTCGTGGCAGACCTTGTAGAAATATAGGAATTGTGGCGGGTTGGGTATTAAAAACTTGACATACCAAAGTAAATCTTTCATTTGAAAACTTTGTTGGGCTTTGGTTACCAACCTTAAGACTTTATGGGTTCAAGTTCTCAAATCTAAATACAAATGTGGAGTTGGTGTCACACTTGATATCAAAAGAAGAAGTGGAGCATTTATAACTTGGAAAAGCATTCTCAAGGTTTGGAACTCCTTTCAACATAGTTTAGGAAAGTTTATTGCTTCTGGGAGTCACATTCTTTCTGGTTTGATCGTTGGCTTCCCACCAAAACTCCTCTTATTGACTTAGTGGAACATGGCAAAGAGTTCATAGATATTAATGAAAGTGTAAGGGATCATGTCCTTTCTTCGGGAACTTGGGATGTGTACAAAATGAGACCCTTGCTTCTTAACCATATTGTGAACCTCATTGTAAGCATGAAAAACCCTTATGAGGTGAGAGGAGAGGACAAATACATATGACTTTATTCTACATAAGGTAATTATTCTATGAAATCATGATACTTTTCTCTTTTTGCAGGAATGGAAGATAACAGAGAACTAGTTTGGTGAGCAATATGGAGACAAAAGATCACAGAGAAGATCAAAACTATATTCTAGTTGATGGAGCATGATAGAGTTCATACAATCACACAACGTTTGTGGAGAGGTTTAATAGAAGATATACCTTACCCCTTTAGATGTATGGCTTTGGAAGACACTATCCACCTTTTTTGTGACTGTACTCCTACCAAGCATTGGTGGAATGAGTATGTGCACCAAGATATGTTGGATATATTTTTTTCTTTAGATAAGAGGGACTGGTTATCCTAGAATATGAAAGCTTGTGTGGGTAACTCATCTACTATGATTGTGCCCTAGAACACTTTATTTGCTTACATTTGTTGGAATATTTGGATAGATGCAGGGTTCTCTTTCAAGGTTGTACCGATGTGATTTAGGAGGATCCATACTTCTTTTTATTCAATGTTGTTGCCGACGTTAAATTGTCTAGTAATTTTGACTTACTTCCTAGAGATAGAAATGTTGTGCTCTAAAATCCTTTGAATGATGTTGCTATCATACTTGAAATCGATGACCCAATCCTTAAGAATGGCAGGAGTGCTTGTGGAAATGTTTTGAGATATGCAAATGGTAACTGGGTATATGGTTTCAATTGTAAGCTGCGATACCTCCCAGTTGCCACTGTTGAAATTCACATTATTCATCGTGGGCTTGAGTTGTATTGGCAAAAAGGATTCAAAACTGTGGAGGTCTTTTGTGATTGTGTGAATGCTATTTCACTAATCACAAAAGACAACCATGGGTATTACCCTTTCTATGATGTTATTTATGCAATTAAATTTTTGTTAAACATATTAGGCCTTGCTTACCTTCCTATTATGAAAATAAGGGCACCCCTCTACTCAATTCCTTAATAGGAATTGCCGGGGTGTTAACTCACGGAATCTACTTCACTCATGGCCAATACCCATTGGGCACTTCACTCAGGGTTTCCCCTTCGGGTTTTCCCGCCCCATAGGGGAAAACCCTGAGTGAAGTGCCCAATGGGTATTGGGCACGAGTGAAGTAGATTCCGTGAGTTAACACCTCGGCAATTCTTGTTAAGGAATTGAGTTGAGGGGTGCCCTTATTTTCATAACAAGAAGGTAAGCAACGGATGAGCGCCCTAGTACGAAAGCCCCTACTTAGTTTAAAGCATTAGTCACGAAGAAGCAACGGATGAGCACCCTAGCGCAAAAGCCGTTGCGCGTTAGTACGCGCAAGAAGCAACAGAATTAGCGCTCTAGCATGAAAGCCATTGCGCGTTAGTACGTGCAGCCGTTTTCTTGCTCCATTTTCTTGCTGCTTTAGTTTGATTGCTGCTTTAGTTTTCTTGCTCTGTTTTCTGATATGTTAATCTTAATTTTGTGTTTAGGGAGGACAATAGGATGGCTGACTACCTGACTAAGCTAGCTCATAGTTCTAATCTTAACGTTTGTTTCTTTGATGCCCTACCCTTTTAGTTAGTCTTTTCTTGGGTGGTTTGCTTGCTTTATTTGTTTTCTTTTGTTGCTTGTTTCCATAGTTTTTGTATGCCCCCAATTTGTTGAATGATAGTTTCCTTGTTATTCAAAAAAAAAAAAACAGAGAAAACAGAAAAGGATCAATGACAATTATGTTTATAAAAATAGATTATCTTTTACCCTTTCTTTCATCAATTTAAAATGTTTTTTCAAAATAATGATTCAAACAATTTTATTTTTTGTTACAAAATTTGTCCAGAAAAACTATTTTATAAAATTATTTTAAGAATATAAAAACAGAAAGCAAACCAAGTCTCTCTGCATGTCTAATGGATTATGATATATTTTTCTATAGATTCAAAGTCCTCAAGTATAATTATTTTTGAGGGTGAAATTCAAAATGTTTTTTCTCAAAATAATGATTCAAACAATTTTTTTTATTTTTGTTTTCAAAATTTGTCCTGAAAAACTATTTTATAAAATCATTTTAAGAATTTAAAAGCAGAAAACAGAACCAAGTCTCTATGCATGTCTAAGAGTATTTCTTTAGAGATTCAAAGGCCTCGAGTATAATTATTTTAAAAGGTGAAAAGACCGAAATACTTTTGATGGGTAAAATATCCATACCGCATGTTAACTAAAGGAAATTAACAATCGAAGGTCTGAAAATAAAAAAGTTCAGTTACTTATAAAAAAATTTGTTTATTCAAAAAAGTTCATGTGAGATTGCACTTGCACTTGAAAAAATTTACGAGTTACTAGAGAAAAATTAATAATAAAAAATTTATAAAATAACAAGAAAAGTTTACTTACTTATAACAAGAAGTCTAGTTATTCATAAGAGCTGTGTGAATTTATATTTGTACTTGAAGAAAAAAAATTTACAAATTAAATAAAAAAAACTCTAATAATAAAAAGGTTTGCAAACAACAAGAAAAGTTGAATTATTTATAACAAAAATCTACTTATTTATACAAGTCCATGTCAAATTTCATTTAATTTCTTTTCACTCATTAAAAGTAATGGAGTCATTTTAACGAGAAAAATAATTAAACTTGAGGCATTCAGACATGTAGAGAAATATTAGAATCTATTAACCTTAAAAAAGAATTATGTTCCTTTGAATGGCGCGGTTCTTCCATTAAAATAAGGTGTGCTGAAACATTCAAACTTGAAATTATTGTTGTTGTATTGTATATGCATATTAAAAAGCTCCTTTTAGAACTAATTTATCATGATTTTCACAGATAAATTTTTTTTTTAAAAAAATGACAGTTAAGTCTTAAAAAAAGAAATTAATGACAATTAAATTTTACACAAATTTTTTTGACAAATTGTAACACACCAAATTTTTTTTTTAATAATTTAACTCAACCATAGTTGGGTTACAGCCACCCAACACATTTTTATATCAATAATTTCAATATAAAATATTTTATAATTAACATTTCAGATAAATTTTTACCTCCCACATGCCATTAGGCTAAATCACATTTGTCCATCCTTATACTCCCAACAAGTAAACTAAATCACATTTGTCCATCCTTATACTCCCAACAAGTAAAATAAGCAATTTAATAAATTTTCAACACAAGCCAGTTATTTGGCCTTATAATCATGCCATTTTAACCAATCCAAAGTAAACCAAATATTAAAATTACAGTCATCCAAATTGTACTAAAAATAGAAATAGTTTGAAAGGCATGATTACATTTATATATTCATATAATTGACAATAAACAAAAAGCCCTATTATTGGCAATATAACACATTATAAATCATAAATTAAATACCCAAAAGAGATAGTGGATCTATACCACTAAGCCTCTGGGACTCCTCCACGTGTTACTCGTGGCTCTTCTCCTGAAAATTGTTAACCACATAATGAGACTCAAAAGTCCCAGTAACCAAAGCCAATTTATGATAGTGTATACAAACAGTTAAGTGTGTGATTACTAAGTGAGAATTAAAAAATAATATAATTTCAATAAATATAAGAAATATTATAATAAACACAAACAACTATCCTTATATCCCTCCATTAACCTCGAGCCGTAGCCCTCACTCGATGTTAAATTATCCGGCCAAAGGTAGATTAGCCCGAGCCCTTACAAGCCACCTATTGAGCTCCAATAGGGGCGTACCACGTGGCACATAAATACAACAATAATAGCAAGTCTCCCAACACCTCCCATAATAATTAAACAAATTCATAATAATATTGCACAATTATACAATATTACAAAATTCATAAGTTTCTCAATAATCACCCAATTAACATGAAGTAACACTAATCACAAATTAAAAGCATGGTTACCTTGTGGCTTTTTCAATAAATTATTCCTTAAAATTTCTCTCTCACCACAATCTTCACTAGTAATACAATCTACAAATAACATATTATTTATAAATATTAGTTTCAATTTTTGAAACTAATAAAATAATTCTAATAATAGAATTAAAAATATAACATAATTTCTAATCTCAATCTTAATACAAATCTATAGTTAATACTATTAAGTAAAATTTTTAACTCCTCTTTTAATTATCAATAAACATTAATAATCTAAAAATCAACTTCTAAATTAATTTCTATTATCAAAATTTTCTTTTTATTTTATAAATTCGTACCTAAAATACTCAAAAATTAAAAATTAAGTCTCTATCTTAGAATCATAATCCTATAACCATAATAATTCATTTCTCATCCCAAATAATCATCTAAACCTCAATAAATCAACATATATTTTCAGATCTAGTCTAGAATTTGATCCATAAGCCACAAATTCAAAGATCACCAATAAATTTATACTCTAGAATATTTATTATACTACTAACAACCTCAAAAACCATATTTATTCAACATAAATTCATCCCTCTTCCAGATCTTAAATTTTCTACCACTATAAAATCAGAAACCAAAGAAGAAGGATGACTAAGAAAAAATTTTAGAACACTTACTTAGTCTTAAAAAGCTTAAAATCACATCCTAAATATCCTATTAAAAACTCTTACCTTAAAAATTTAGATATTTCGCACCGGCGACTCGCGTTCTCTCTGCCTCAGCGCGCACGAAGAAATGAATGAAGAAACGAAGGAACATGTGAGTTTTTATAAAAATTCAGTGGGTCCCACACATTTTTTTTATTCTTTCTCTCTCTTCTTCTTCTTCTTTTCTTTTTTTTTATTATTTTATTTTACTATGTTACTATTGAGGCGGCGGCACGTTTTCTTCCTTCCTTCTTTTTTTTTTGCAAACCTTTCTTTTTTTTATTATAATAATAATTTAATAATATTTTTTATTATTTTTTTATTTAATTAATTTTTTTTAGAATTATATCCTAAGTTAGATTAATAATCATCTCTTACTAATTTTCTTACCTCTAAATATTATTTTTTTTATTAACCCAAATTAATTATTAAAATTTAAATTGGGATGTTACACAAATCAAGTTTAAATATCAATTCAAATAATTATAAAATTAAAAATCTTAATTATAAATAAAATATTTAAATTTTAAATATAATAATTAATTTATAATTCAATATATTTACAACTATTTAAATTAATATATACAATTTATTTTATAAAATTTTATCGCGATCTAATTATTATTAATTCATCATTTTATGACAATATTGTCATTCATTTTTTTGTGAACAAAGTTGAAATAGTAAAGAAATTAAATAATATTTATTAAACATAAAATGATTATTTATAAAAAGAAAACTTTAAAACAATAAATATTTTAAAATAAAAGGAGAATTTCAACTGATTTGAATGGGAAAAAAGCAGAACCAATGGACTGGGAAGTGAAAGCTCGGAGCTAAAAATAGAGTAATTAAGATTCTAACGTCAGAAAGTACAAATAAATACAAAATGAAAAAAATAAAACAGAAATAAGTAATAGATATATTCTTTCTGTTAAAAAATATAAAATATTTTTAATCGAATATCACCTCAATAAAATAGTTATTTATTTTTAAATTAACCCTATTTTTTTATATTTATATTTATTAAATACTATATAATAAATATAAAGTCATTATCAATAGAGATACTTTTAAAAAAAGCAATAATTATACCTTAAAATGTTAAAAATGCCTTACATTTTTAACATCCAACCTTTTAAAAATACTTTATATTTTTGAACAGTGAGAGTAAAAATTAGTGGTGCATCTCAGGCTTCACTCTAACCTAATATTCAACCTGATGTGCATGTTTGGGTATTGGGCTGCTTGACATTTTGGGATGAATTTTAGCTTTAACTAAAAATTATTTTTAAAATAAAAAAATTAAAATTATATGTAATTAATAATTATCCATTATTTTTACATGATTAGAATCACAAAAATATTTATGACGAACATAAAAACAATATAATGCATGAAAATATTAAGTAAAATAATATATAAAAAATTCAAATATCAGTTACTGATGATACAATAAAAAACTAATCTTTTTCAATGCAAGTAAAGTAAATAAATAAATAAATAAAATACTTGCTTTTAATAAATTTATTGGCGTTTTAGTTACTTCCTCTTTTATGTTTCTTCGGTCCTATTTATAAAATAGAGAGAAGAAAAAATTAATCCTATTTATAGAACACTTACCAATTTTTAAAGCTTCCTTTTATGTTTTTCCTTTTATTAAATATTTTGAATAAAATTATCAATAATAAAATTTAAGAATATTTATTAGGAGCAAGGGTAGAAACTTATTAAATTTTAAAACAAATTTAACAAGGTTTAAAGTTTTTCTTCATTTTGATAAATTATATTAAAAATAATTTATAAATAAAATTACAGAGAGTAAGGTATAGTCGACAGTGGTCCGATTTGGCCACGCTACACAATTTAAATACTAAAGAAGATATGATTATATTTATATAAATCACAACTAATATGGCTGTTCTCTCTCTGTCTTTTTTATTTTGGGTGAACAACAGCGAGGTGGCTTTGTTTGTTTATAAAAGTATCCTTCTCACAATTTGATTTAATTGAAGAAAAATTTGGCTAGTTATTAAATTTATATATGCGACATTTTTTATCAAATTAAATGTACTACATTTGAAAATTTGTTGTAATGTAGTTTAAATATGTTAAAATTTATTGAATGTTGTAATGAATTTAAATCCTTTGAATTGTAATGAAAAACTTTTTGTTATTATTGAATATTTTTATGGATTTATTTTGACTAGTTTTTAATGTTTTATGATAAATTTCACATGATTACAAGTATTTTTGTTATTTTAATTAAATTTATAATGTTAAAATGAATTATTGTTTCTCGTATAAATAAAAGGGGAGAGTAAAGTGAGGGACTAAATTATTGAGATAAATCTCTCTAATCTTATATGTTATCTAACCTAGTGTCTTTATACCCCGTGTGTTTTTGCTTTTTGTTTTTTTTCAAGTGCTCTTTATGGAAAAAAATAATCACTTATAAAAATTTTAAGATGTTTATTTAATATTTTTAAAATATTCAAAATCTAAAAATAATTAGATATATGATTATTTGGAGAAGTTAATCCGAGCAGTTTTTGTTTTGTTTTGTTTTTTTTTAAGAAAAGTCATAGGCTGGATGGAAGAGAAAAAGTGAGGAAACTCATCAGACCTTTTGAACCTCATCAGAACTCCATTTTTCTCATGCAAGTTGTGACAGCATCTTCGTCTTTATTCCTCCCTCTTCACTTTCAGCGTGCTTCAATTTGCTTGAGAGAACAAGATATTGCTTGAAGAGGGCAAAGCTTTTATCTTTTATTGATATAAGATTTGTGGTTAACGAGTGCTGGATACAGCAGGTGGTCACGTAGTAGGATAGTACTGTCTTTTTTTTTTTTTTTTTTATAGATGGTGCTCTTTCTTCTTCTTCACGGTCTAAGAGAAGGTTTTTAAAATAAAAAAATTAGAAAAAATTATTTTTTTTAATCCTTCAACTTTTCATTGATTTATTACTTAATACTTCAATTATAACTCATTATGATTTAATCTCTCAATTATAACTCGCTGTAATTCAGTTATTTAACTTGTAACTCATTTATAATTTGATCATTATTTTTTAATTTTTTTAAAAATTATCTTTATCAAATAAAAGGGATAAAATAAATGCTTATATCTTATTATAAAATACCCTCATTTTGCTCTTTGATATGAGATTTAAGCTAATATAAAAAAAGAGAAATAACAAAAATTAAGAGACTGAATTATAAACGAGTAAAAAGTTAAGCGATTGAGTCATAAATAAGTCAAATGTTAAGAAACCAAGTGACAGTAAGTCATAATTGAGGGATTGAGTTATAAATAAGTTAAAAATTAAAGAATAAAAAAATTAATTTTTTTAATATTCTCAAAATAATTTTACAAAACATCGATTCTCAAAATAATAAAATAAAAATAGTTTTAAACAAGCCCCAAAATTTACTAATCATAGTAGAGTGATTTCAAACTCTAGTACACCTAAAATATGAATTCAAGATTAAAAGAATTAATTATGTGATTATGCGTTAAAAAGTAATTTTTTACTGTTATAATCAAACCTAAAATATTTTTTAATTTTTTAAAAATATTTACAAAATGTATCATTTTTAATAAAAAAATTAAATTGTTTAAAATTATTTATTTATTTTTTTTGGTAGAAAAAATTATTTATTTTTAAATCTTAAACAAATCAACCTTCATGTAGAAGAGACCAGATTTGCGTTCTGTGCTCTTGTCCGTCTTTTGTGCAGCCCAGCCCAAATCCAAATCGATCTCTGCCTCCTCGAATTTCGCCCTTTCACAGTCTCCCGTTGTCTTTCGTTCGCACTTGCAATTGCTGCAGCTCCTCTCTCTCCATGCCGGTCTGAAACTTCGCCGTCTCTCGCTGGCTGCTGCTACTCGTCTCTGTCTGTGTTGTTGCTCTCGTCTCTTGGGGGCGTTCACGGTACTATTTTGCTATCCGCAATTCATCTTCCATTTCAACTGTCTCCTCTTTAATTACCGGAATCAGGTCCAGGGGTTGCTAAAAATAGCATCTTTTTCATTGCTTTCCGGTTGGGTAAATCCTTAAATTCTTGAATTTTAATATTGTGGCTATTTGATTTTATATGCTTTTCCTGGTTAAGTTCTTTTTCATCGTGAAGAATGGACAAGTATAATAGCACTCGGTACTGGGGTTGAGATGGTATTGTTTGTGCGAGTGTGCCGTCTTGTTGCTGTTGTTAGTGAGAACGGTAGAGTTCTTGAGAAGTATTTGATTGGAATATTGTAATTTGCTGCTTCTATGTTGCATTTATTTTGTAACTGGTTAATGCTTTCTTGAAATATATTACCGCTTTATCATATCTTCTGTCTCGGAATCTATAGTCATGTGTCCCTTGGTTAATCATGTTCAGCACTCTAGTGTTTTTTCTCTTCAAAATGTACAATTATGAAGCCCCTCTTCTAAACTGGTTTTTCTCATTCAACTCCTAACGCTTCAATGCCTGGAGATTTGAATGAAGTTAATGATAATTTCAGTATTGGTGATTATTAATTTTATATTTCTTAATGATTGAGGGATTGTAACTTATAAGGATGAATATTTGAAAAGTTGTATTTTATTACTGTTCGAATTATTGTATTTGTATCTTGTACGAGACATTAATCTTGGATATGGATGAATGTTTTGATGATTAATTTCTTTTTATTTAAGTTGTATTATTTTAATCATGATGTGTTTGCCTTTGATTTGACCCATCTGGTTGGACCACTAACTTGTAAACCACTATTTCGACCAGTTTAATAATTGGTCTAATTTCAGTACCTTACTGTTTACCTCATTGTCTCTCAATCTCTCACCTTCCCTTTGGTACTGCCTGCCTCACCATCTCTTAAAACTACCTACCTTCGATTTCTCTCCTTGAAGCTCATCCACTTCTAAGCATGTTTCATCCCCATCCATAGCTGTCGTCATTCTCAATCTCTGCCTCTTCTCAACACATCTCTTCACTGTGGCCTTTGATCTACTCATCGAACCTTCGTCGCCACTAATCTGCTCTTCAACATCCTTCGTTGCTTAAGATCTTTTAGTCTCCTGCCCATGTTTTGATGCTTTGTGCATCTACTAGATTATTATGTGAAATTATAGATTTCTGATTTTTTTGTTGTGATATTCTACCGTCTGTGCTTTTTAATTTTATTGTTGTAAAAATACTTAGTGTTGATTTCATTTTTGAAATCATTATCTGTGTCTTTTTTTTTGGTTGATCTAATGTGGCTTTCTTCCCTCTTTTGATTCTGATTGGATTTTGGTTTGTCTAACTTAATTCGTTGATTGTTATTTGTTTTTGTTCTTTCCTTTTACTTTCCCCCTCCTTTTAATTGGTTCATGGTTATCTCTTGAAAATAGTTGACGTAGGTTTTTACTTACTTTTTTTTTTTTTTAATTTCTGGATTTGTTTTGTTTCTGGCAATCTCTTTAACTCTATTTCCTTTTTTTTTTTTCCTGTGAAGCTATTTATATGATTGCCAAGGGGAAGGCAGGAATACAGTATCACCTGATGCACTTTACAATATACGAAGATTTGTGGATTCATTGACCTAACTTAACTCCTTGTCTGTCATTTTTTTTTTTAATTCTTTCCTTTTTCTTTCCCCCTCCTTTTAATTAGTTCATTGTTAATTTCTTGAATATAGTTGATGTTGGTTTTACTTACTTTATTTTTATTTCTGGATTGGTTTGTTTCTGGCACTCGCTCTTTAAATTTGTTTCACTTTTATTTTTTTTCTGAAATTATTTATATGATTGCCAGGGGCAAGGGAGGAATACAATATCACCTGATGCACTTTACAATATAAGAAGATTTGTGGATTTGTTCTAGCGAACTTCATCAAATTCAGGTTTCTCCACATTGACTCAATCGGTCCTACCTCCTTCACTGTGAAGCATTTGGGCTCGTCTTTTTCACCATCTTCTCTACCAGGATGAGCTGAAGCCACCATGAGATATTTGCCTTTGTTTGCTTCATTTTCCTGTTCAGTTTCAACTTGATTTCCATTTTCAATTTGGAGTTGATTTTGATGTGCTGTGGGTTGATTCTGCACAAGGAGGGATCAGAACACAAAAAATTGAAGGAGACTGAATGAATCCTTGATTTGCTTCCCTGTAAATTACATGTCATTCTTGGGGCTTCAAGGAGATCTATAAAACAGAAGGAAGAGATTGATCTGAGAAGGGAAGGTTACCTCGTTAATAAGTTGAGCCACTGTCCTCAAAGTTGATTGCTTCAATTCAAAATATTTGTGTGAGGTGTGCACTTTGGAGAAAGAGATCAAATAGTCTAAATGGAAGATGGTGTCAGCGATAACCAGACAAGAAGAGTTGTTTTTGTAACTGTGGGGACAACTTCATTTGATGCTCTTGTGAAAGCAGTGGATTCTCCGACAGTCAAGCAAGTGCTATTTACAAAAGGCTATACCCACCTTCTCATTCAAATGGGTCGTGGATCTTATGTTCCCACAAAGGTAGTCTTAAAAGCACTTCATTGCAGTTCATTTTCTTTCCCCTTTCTGCCTTATATTCCTTACTCATTGGATATCTCCACGATGAAGTTGAACTATTATCGGCTTCTTGTTTATTGACCAGTGATGATGATGATTTGTGTTCTATTACAATACAGTCTAGTGGTGAAAGGTAATTCAAAGATTGGAAATTTAGAAATATTTTGAATACAAAGTTTGGAAATGCTTCCACTCAAAGTTCCTCAAATGTTTTTTAATGTCCGTTAGAAATTTGTGAAAATCTAAAGGGTGATGTCAATGCATGATGACTTTACCACCTAGAAATTATGAATTAAGAGTTTGAGAGCCGTCTGTCAATTTTAAGTTATAGATGCTTTTTCTAAAAAAATGATATTAAATCATTATTTCTGTAGACTTTAAAATTAAACTTTATTGATATTGGCATTAGCTTTATCAACCTCACCTAATGAGATAAGGCTTGTTGTTGTTGTTATATTGACATTAGCTTTATCACATGCTTCTTTCATTTATTGAATTTCTTAGAGATTACTTCTTTGTAGTCTGAAGGAGATGGTTCGTTGGCTGTAGACTACTTCAAATTTTCCTCAAGCATTGCCGACCATCTCAATGCAGCATCTCTTGTCATTAGTCACGCAGGTCATTTTTTTGTTTTTCTTTCCGGTTCTCCTTTTTTAGTATGGTATTGTCAAGTTTTCTTGAGTCATGGTGTTACTATTTTGTTTCAGTGGCTTCAATTTTATTCTTCCATCTACATGGGGCAAAGTAGCTGTCATGCTAATGGTCATTGGTTAAATTTGCTGCATTCTACCTTACACTAAAGTTGGATTTGAAAATCATTGGATATGTGTCAACTAAGTTCGTGTGAGTCATTAAGGAGAAAAGGAAGAAAATGAACATAAGAAATGAGCCACAGCTGTCACAGGCTGGTGAATGTGATTAGATTAATTAATAGGACATAATGGAGCAGGGACAAATACATATATCAGGCACTGAATTAGACTTTGTTGCATTGAAATGACTTGAGTGGTTTAATGAATTTAATTTAAAATTAAAATTAAAATAGTTTAGCATGGTTGATGTCCTTTAAGCTGGTTAAGGAATAAACAAATGGTCTGTAAAGTCCCTCCCTTTTTGCCTCGGGCTATGCGTGGAGGAACTATCTGCTTTGTTGAAAGTGGGGGATATTTCCCCCCTTCTAGATGCGTTGCTCCTATATCTATATCTGCTTTCAAAGTTTTGTGTATGCAGAGATTCCTGCATTGTCATTGCACTTACTCATGAGTTGACTGTTGGTACTTTAGTTACTTTTAATTGCTATTACATTTTTTCAGTATCATCAGTTTCTTATTTGGCCAGCTGGGGCCCCAAGCTTCATAAAGTCTGCCATGTGTTTCAGAATGAATGTGTTATTTCACTACAAATTTTCTATGATGAGGGCATGTAAACTGTTTTGACTCCATGCAGGATCAGGTAGCATATTTGAGACATTACGGTTGGGGAAGCCTTTAATTGTGGTTGTGAATGAAGATTTGATGGACAATCATCAAAGTGAACTTGCAGAAGAACTAGCAGATCAAAAACATTTGTATTGTGCACGTCCTCAAACTCTCCATCAAACTGTAGCAGATATGGAATTAAGTCATCTCGTTCCTTACTCTCCAGGCGATGCCACACCGGTCGCAAAGCTCATAAATAGATTCCTCGGTTTTCCTGATGATTGAAGAGCCATGATATGATTTATATAAGAAGTTTAATTAGGGAATATCCGGAATTAGTAGCGATGAAGAGGCGAAACCTGAAGGGAGGGACATTGATATAGAGGTGAAGGACGCAAAACGGTGTTATAATGGATTGGTGGGTGAAGCATGTGGTACGTGATTGGTATGACACATAAGAGATCTGAACAGAAAGCGAAGGTTGAACGTGAATACTTACATTGCATGATGGGTTTGGTGGTTGTGGTCCTGCTCCATCTTAAATGCCACTTGTACTCCATACCAGCTTTGTGATGGGGCACATGATCTGTGTGACTTTGTCCTTTGCTATTTTCATGCCCTTTCGTTTCGTTTCTTTTCTCTTCTCTTCTTTTTTGATACAAATTTTCACACCCTTTATCATGAGTTAGGAATCAGGCATAATAAACTACTATTGTTGGTTCCAAATGTAGGATATTTTGTAGTTTTGATAAATATTTTTCTATTTTACCCTTGTGTTGTTGGCTTTGTTAACAATACCTGTTCAGCTCATGAATACTGCAGGTTAAATTAAATACCCTTGATTCTTTATACTTTTGTTATTTGTGGTTTGAAATGCACTTAATTTATTGAGATATTGATTATACTGCCAGTTTTACCCTTAATTGAATACTGAAAGCATTTTCTCATCACTTGTATAAATAAACAAAGGTATGATAAAAAAAAATAGAAAAAAACATATATTTTGGTTCTTGCATTTCATTTGTGTTTTTTTGTAAGTTCCTATATTTTATTTTGGTGTCTGAGTCCTATGCTTTCATTTTTTTGATATTCTAACTCTATAAATGGACAAAGTATACAAACTTTGGATAAATGTAAAATATTAAAAAATAAAAGTGTAGGAATTTAAAATATTGAAAAAAAGTGTAGAGATTTATAATAAAGTACAAATAAAGTGCAGTGATTAAAAAATATATTTTTTTAAAAAAATATAATAATGTTACTTTGATTTTTTTAAAAGAAGTATAAAATGAAACTTTTTTTAAAAAAAAAAAGAAACTAATTTTGTGAAATGAATGGCATATCAAGTTTGGTTGAAATGTTTGAATGCAGAAGGTAAAGTAGCAATGGGTCATGTTATTGTTGAATCAAATGATTGGCAAGTCTGATCTTTTGTTTTGTTTTTTTTTCCCCCCTTTTCACGGATTTGCCAATTGCCTAGGTGCTTAGCTTGTCCAAACAAGAAAGTAGCATCAACTTATTTTTCTTTTTTTTTTTTTATAGATAGGGCTAGCAAAAGCAACTTATTTTTCTCTGTGATCTCACCACTACTTGGATGGACAACACATAAGAATGCATGTGAACATTGACTATATTACCACTTAAAAACATAGAAAATGCCGTATTAGGGGTTCAAATTGATGTTAATGTGCTGCGCGTGAAAGGCTGGCAAAATTTATTGTGATGTATTTCAACAGTTACTATTGAAATTGATCAAAGTACTCTGTTTCGGTGGGGGAAAAACAAAACGAGCTAACCTGAACAGGACAAGCATGAAGACGCTCACATCAAACACTAATTGTTGCCTCTCTCTGAGGGTAACGTGTTATTGGAGGTCACCATGAGATGATGAGAATGCCCATAGCTGGCACGCCTTGCCTCCCCTATAAAACACTATCCTTCACTTGCTTCTTTTTTTGGACATCAATTTAGAAAGTGCATTTAAAAAAAAAAAGAACGAGGAGATTATATTATACGCCTTGGTTTTATTCTTAAATTTGGGGATTATTAGTAAACAAGGTGAGCTTGGTTCATGTAGCCTCAAATCCTAAAGCTTGATTATCATAAAATTAGTCATTTTTTTAAACATGATTTTTATTAATTAGGCTCAAGTCAAGCCCGTAAGTCTTTTTTTATTTTTAAATTTTTTTAATAAATTTAATTTTTATATTATAATAGTATATATTCTTTCTTTAAAATATAAATTTTAATTTTAAAATTTAAGCATATAATAATTTAAAAATTAAAAATTAAAAATGCTTCACTTTTTATGGGTAAAATAAAAGAAGGTCTAAGCAGGCTAATTGAGCCTGCTTTTACAAAATCTAACAGGATGAGGTTTAAAAGAAGTGTTTTAAAAATACCCGATCAATTTAATTTGTTAAACTCAGAACTGGCGCTTCATCCAATTCGATTGACTCCTTGAAACAAGCACAAGGGAATCGGTCAATGGTGGGAAACACTGGTCAAAATCAATTGAAAAATGGATCAATTCTCCTAAAAAACTGGACTAAATTAATTAAAATTTTAAAAAAATATTAAAATTAAAAATTAATTAAAACAAAGAACCGCCAAGCATAATTAATATTAATGATTTATTCATAAATGATAGATCATCTTACCAAGCATTTATTAATATCTTTTTTGAAAAACACAAATATTTCATGTATTTTTTATTTAATTATGATACATAAATTAAAAATATATTAATTAATATTAACCAAATCATGATTGGACTCATGAACCATGAACCGATGCTTAATTCAATTTAATGATCGATTTAGTTTTTAAAACCTTATTTAAAAATTAAGCTTCAATCTAAAATTAATTATCTCAGCCAAAGTGATGTTAGATATAAAGCTAAATGGAGCCCTTAATCACCTGGGTGGGTTAGAATTAACATTGATGGCTCTATCAATATTAATGGTGTTGCCACTTGAAGAGATATCATTCGAGATAAAAATGGTAATTAAATTAAGAAATTTTTTAAATATTTAGGTTATTATCCTAACATAAGAGCTGAGCTTGAGAATTTTCAAAGATCTCAACCTTTTGTTGAAATGTTAAATTCCACAAAATCAATATTTACACCCATTCAATGAAAGCTTTATCCCTCACAGAGTATAGCTATTTTGAAAGACACTCATTTTTTAACATAATCAAGAAAATTAGAGCATCACGATAAAGGATTGGGTGATTATATTAGATCATGTTTGTACAGAAGTTAATAAATGTGTCAACTTTTTTGCTTGTTAGTCTTCTTGAGATAATTTTGATATACAATCTTCTATCTAAAAGTAAAAATTTCATGATTTTCGGTATGACTTAATTTTTGTTTTTTTATACAGTTATGCCGGCCTTGTATTAAACAAAAAGTCGAATTATACTGAAAAATTCCTGCTTTTTAAGCAGGAATTCTCATAAAAACAAACTTAAAGGAGGGCCACGAACCAATATTCCGAGCAATGAGGCTCTAATTATTGGGATTTGGAAAGGGAGAGCGTGTGGGGTGTGGCAGGTTAGAAAGAGGTGGCAAAAAGTCTGATACAAAGAAAGAGACAATTCCATACAAAATACAACGCCAGGGACAAACCAAGTACACGATACCAACTTGGATTAAATTACTCACGAGAAAACAGAGAGAGAGAGAGAGATGATATGGCTCTTTGCTTGCTTTTTCACTCCTTGGAAGAAGCGAAGCTCAAAACTAGCAAATACTAACTTACACCTTCCATTTTGTCCTTAACTATCAAATCTCTGGAGAGTGGAGAGCCAAACTCGTCTCTTCCTTCTTCTTTCCAGCACTGTTCTCTGCAGTCATGGAAGTCAATACCATTTTTGCTGTTGCTGCAGAATCACCCAGTGTTGCTCTCGACGAGCATGACCACCACCACCACTACCACCATCCACATGTCCCCTCTAAAACCATTCTTATACTCATCATAACCCTCACCTCCTTCATGCTGCTCCTCGCCATTTCACTCATCATCTTCCTCCTCCGACGCCTTAAATCCTTCCCCAGGAATAATCCAACCACTAAACTCGCCGCCGGCGAAGAAGAGCTTAACGATACCAGCAGCAGATTCATGGCCTCAACAGCTTCCAACTTCACGTCTAGCCCAGGTAATAACGCTCTTCTGATTCTCCCTCCGTCTCTCAGACAATATAAAGGTGAGTTTTTTTAACACTGGGAGAAAAGTGCAGACGTGAAAGGAGGTTGTATTTATGGAGGAAACATGAACATGAGCAGGCCAGCACTAGCAGCACCTAAATTCAGAGGGGTTCAAGTGTTCACATACAAAGAGCTAGAACTGGCGACGGAGGGATTCAGTGAAGCAAATGTGATTGGCAATGGAGGATCTGGTTTGGTGTATAAGGGAATCCTCAGTGATGGCACTCTAGCCGCCGTTAAGTTGCTGCGCAGGGAAGGCAAGCAAGGAGAACGTGCCTTCAGAATAGAGGTGAGAGCCGCCCCTTCATTTATTATCTCATTTTCTCTGCCCACGAGCTCTGCTTCATGACATTTATATCTCTCTCTAGCTATTTGAATTGTACTCTTGAAGAATTTTTTACTTTCTGATAGATTAGCTAGGGTAGCTACGAACATTAATTGGTAGCAACTTTTTGCACTGTTGATCATCATTGGCCTGTGGAAATTGAGATGGTGGATGATGAGGGGTACCATGGTTCTCCTTGATTAATCTGTTTCTTAAATTTTTGGTTCGTGCGTGTGGTGCTTCTGGTTGTGTCAAAAAATCTCACAGGCCACAGCCATGTTCATTTCCGGACCTGTAAGCTTTGATATGGGTAATGTAAATTTGATCCTTGAGATTTAAGTGGCGACGACTTGAATCTTTGTCCGTTTGTCCTCCTTTTCTAGTTCCCGGGCGATTGCTCTCTGTTCCTAAGAACTCTTGTATTTTCTTCCCAATACAGAGACGAAAAAGAATTTCTTGCTCATTTGTCTGTATAACGTACATATTGGGAAATGGGAATTGGAGTTGGTGAAACATGTATGGTTAAGGAACAAAAATGGCGTTCACTTCTTAGGTTTTGGCTTTCGACTTCAAATAGTAATGTCTTTTTGTTCTGTTCTTCCCTGCCTCCCTGATTTTTCACTGTGTCTGGGTATCCTTTTCGTGTATGTAATCCAGTTTGCTCAGACTCCACAGAGATTGCCTTTGTCTTTTCTGTTTGGAAAGCTGCCGTTTAGGTGAGGAAATCGAGATTCATAAGAAAAGTCAAAACTCCAAATAAGTTTGTAATTTAATACCGTGTTAGGGAATATTTTTAGGGAGAACTATTTTAAGAACTCCCAATACAATTAATTAATTGCTTTCGGGGGTTATTGATAACTAAGCTTAGAAGTGAGACTTGTATATATCCTAAATGGTAGGACAATGAGACATCAAATTTGTTCAAAAACAAAAATGATCTCAAATTAAATTCAAAATACTCATATATCTTAAGGAAAAAGTAAGTTGGATGATAAAAATAATCTTTAATCTTTTTATGTCAGAAAGACAACCTTAGTATAGGCTATTATATTAAGTTGTTTTCGATTATGTTGTCGTCTCTGACTACTAACTGCGAAGAAAACAAATAGGAAGTGACTTCTTCACGGTCCTCGAGCAATAAATGTGATATTATGAGCTTTATTCTAATAATGTGCTGCACATGGGGCTGAGGACTGACATATGGAATGCGAAAATTAAAAATTGCCATTTTGATCCTTTGCTTTGTTTTTAATTGCAGGTGGATCTTCTTAGCCGATTACACTCTCCTTATTTGGTGGAGCTAATTGGGTATTG